ATAATAAAAGATGTGGTAAGGGTGTCATTGTCCTTTCACTAGGCATAATCAACCCTTTACCTAAATATTCGAAATCAACCATAATTTTTATGATTCCTAATTCCTTATAATTACCAACTGGCAACTGATAATTTTTCTATATATATACTTTTCACTTCAAATTTGAAAAGTTTTAGTTGACATTACGATGTGACGTCAATAATTCATTATATATGTTTGATTTAAAAAGGGACTCAAATAAGATACACGGCAACAAAAGTTCATTTCTAAACTTATTTATTTCTCATTTACAAAGCTAGGCTTGTTTACATGAAATAAATAATTTGCATGAATAAAATGAAATATTATCATACAATAAACTAGAAGAACATATTATTTTATTGTTTCTTTTATTATTGCCCAACATTCATTTGCAATTTGGACAAAACAAGGCAAATAAGCAGCCCCTTATTTTTTTTATTGTCCATAGTTTGTTATTCATTTTTCAATCTTGAACTTTATTTGTTTCACATTTCAATCTTTAAAATTTTTTTTAAAAAAGAGAAACTTGCTAAAAATTTGAAGAAAAAAAAAAGAGAAACTTGCTAAAAATTTGAAGAGAAGAAAGAAAGTTATTGATTGATTATATTTCATTTATTAAAAAAGTTGATTTTTGTGTGATGAGTATCTCTTGACAAGAGAAGTGCTAATAAGATGTTTTTTTAGCTTCCATGTCATCATAAAATGCAGATCATGGTTAAGAGATATTTTTTTTATTTAATTTTGTGTTTTTGGAATGACTAAGGGGTGTATTGGGGTTAGAGATTGGTTTATCATGTTTTTTAGGGTGTTTATTAAGTATTTTCAAGTAAAAATAGGTTAATAATGATTTTGAGGCCTCGAAAGCTATGATATAGCTTGTTAGCTACTTCTTTGGTGCTTTAAAACTAAACTAGAAAATGATAGGTTGCTTGTCTCTAAAAAGAACATGTCATTTTTTTTTTTCATAAACATGAAAAAAATAAATGACATGCTTGTCGTACTTAAACTTAAATAAAAAAAAGACCAGGTGTGTAGGCTTATGTGTTCCAAGCCTCCCTCAGTTTGACCAAACACTTAAGCTCAATCTTTTAGGCCTAGGCATATACCTTTTTCTATGTTTTTTTTATTGAAATCCATTATAAATAAATAGTTTGTCATGATATTTTAATTAGTATTTGATGTTGGTATAGTTCTTTAATAATGCTATGTGTTTTTGTAGGAATGTTAAAATACACAAAAATAATAATTATTTTTAATTTATTTTTAAATAGATTTTTGAAATGATTTTATCATATTAATTAGTTTTTTTTAAAATTTTCTTCATGGATACTCGGTGAAGGTAAAAAATTTTAATTTCTTCATCCGTGATTTCTTCCTCAGAATAAACCATTTGCCCCCTTTAATCACATGTAATATGGAGACATTACTTCAATATTTATTATTGAAACTTGTTTTTGGTATTATAAAAAGTTTTTATTTAAAAAACAGCACTTGTAACTAAAAAATATACAAAATAAAAAACATGCTTTCATTTGAACAATAAATGGATTCATTAATAATGGAATGAAGTTTATATTAAATAGATACAATTTTGCCCTTTATTTTCAAATGGTTGAACATGTCGCTGTCCTTTATTTTAATTATCATTGCTATTTATTTAAAAAATGTGCTACTAATAACATATTATGTCATTGTTTTTTTTATGTTTGTGTTATCAATGGCTTGTGGAGAATCATGTATTAGTCTTATATACAATAGTTTTAAAAAAATTTGCGCATCAATATTAAATAACAATAAAATATATTTTTGCTTAATTTTTTTTGTATTTTTATTTAATTCTATCAAATTTATTGATTCATTATTTTTATTTTATTTTTTAGTTGAAACTTTCTTTCAAAGTCATAATAATTTTTTTCTTAAAAAATAATGATTCTTATAAAAAAAATATTTTTTCAAAACAGGAAAAAAAATACATGAGCTTGAAGATAGAGTTTTTTTTATCAAATATATATGCTTTTTAACTTTTTTGTTAAAACCATTTTACTTTTTTTTTTAAATATTTTTTTCTTATTGCTTTTGCTTTTTATTCAATGAACTTTGTTGGTAATAATAAAAACTATTTTTTTGTGAATCTTTTTTACAAGAATTAGAAAACAAGAATTTTTATATAAAAAAATACTTTTCTCCTCCATAATTGTATTTGTTGTCTCTTTGGTGAATGTTTATTTTTATTAATATATAATTAAAGAAAAAATAAATTTCATAAAAAAATTTGTTAAATTTGGTAAAGCTTATGAATTAGACCACAAATTAAACGAGTTAACCTTTGTCAAATTAAAATTCTCATTTTAATATTTTTGTATAAGAAAAAAAAGTTAAATTGATGACTATTTGGATTTCTTTTGAAAAAAAAAGTCAAATTGAGTCCAAATGGTTTGGCTAAGTTGCAATTCACCTATTAGATTAAGGGCGCATTTGGAAACGCTGTTGAAACCATATTCCCTCAAAATTAATTTTTTTACTAAAAATTATATTTTTATGTTTTCATATTATTTTGATATGCTGATCTCAAAAATAATTTTTAAAAAATAAAAAAAATTATTTTAAAGTATTTTAAAGTAAAAAACATTTTAAACTATAACCACTAATATAATATCAAAGAGACCTTAATTGAGTCGCAAGTTCACCCTTTTGAAAATATTTTTCATAGTTGCTTTTTAGTACCATGGAATTTTGCATTTAAAATGATGATTCTATGATGTGTCAATATAGTAAATTTTATTTGAGATTTACTAGGTAGTGTTTCCTATGTTAGATAATAATGGATTAGATAATATAATTCTTTTTATGAAATTGTTTGGTATAAATAGTAAAAAAAATATCTTTTTATCCCACTAAAAAGGCGAGGACAAACTTATCTAATTTTTTACACAAGGGTTAAACTAGTTGATCTAAGTCAATATATAAAATAAATGATTGTTATTGTAGTTTTAAAACTTGATCGGGGATTGATCAGAGTCATAGGTCGAGTTGACCATTGACCGATTCGATGTCAGAATAAAAAAATTATTATCATAGTTTTAAAACTCAACTCAAGATTCGAACTAGAGACAAACCTGGGTTATCGGTCAGGTTGACCATTGACCTGGGTCAAACATAAAAATAATTGTTATTACAATTTTAAAACTAGACTCAGGAGTTGACCCGAGGTTAGGCCTGAGTTATTGGTTAGAACCATTAACACAAGTTAATATAAGGATAAAAATAATTATTATAATAGGTTTGAAACATAACTTGGAGGGTTGACTTTGAGTCAGGCCTGATTCACAATCCGGGTTGATCATTGATCCAAATAATATAAGGATAAAAATAATTATTAGCATATTTTAAAACCCTATTTAGAGGTAAACCCGACTTGGAGTTGAGTTACAGGTAGGGTTGGCCATTGAATTAGGTCAATACAAGGATACCATTTATTATTATTATAATTCTAAAACCCAAATTAGGGGTCAACTATAAGAATAAAAATAATTATTATCATAATTTTAAAATATAACTTGGGGTTGACCTAGGGTAAGGTTCGAGTCATGATTTGAAATGGTTAAGATAAGTTGATCCAGATAAAAAAATAATAATCAAAGTAATCTTGTTTTGAAAAAAATATATAAAATAGTCCGTTAATTTTTTACTTGTGTTTTATCTCAGTTCATAGGTTGACTTGAGTTTTTGATCGAGTCAGGCCAGATCAATCTTTCTTCTATTTAAAAAAACTCAAAATATTTTAGGTATTGAGTCGACGAATTCCTGTCTAGTGTCTAACAAACACAAAATAAAATAAATTATCCAATCCAATCCAAATCACATCAAATAAAGAACAAGATAATTATTTGTTCAATCCATTCTAGTCAATATTATATAGCATACAAAACATAACTTAAATAGAATTTTTTCATTTATTATCAATAGATTTTAACTCACCAATGAATAAATTCTTGATTTCATATTAAGATAAACTACTATGTAAAATACTTTTTGATGAACATGAAAATCCAAACATTTTCTAATTGTTAAATTTAAAATAATTAAAAAATAAAGTCAAGGAAAATAATGTACAGGGTTCTGGGAATCAACAAAGTTTAGAAATCACTAGATTATTTGCTAGCATTGAGATGCAGAATAGTTTGATTTTGTTTTTAATATAATAAAGTATCAGAAACCTGTAAATAAAAAATCAAAATAAATTATATGAATTAATTTTTAATCAACTTAATATTGAATAATAAAATTTTAAAAAATAAATAAATAAAAAAAGATTAAATTGTTAAAGGGTGAAATTGAAAAAAATTAATTAAAAAATAAACCGAGTCAATTTAGATTAACTTGCTTTATCTATAACTTGAGTTATGAGATCATGATAACCTTATATAAAACAAATAAAAAAATAAAGCCCAATTAATAAAAAACAAAAATAATTGAACAGATTCAACTTAGATTAACCAGCTAAATTTGCGACTCAAATTATGAAATCAATATAATTCTATTAAAAAAATCACAAAACTCAATTTTTAACTAATTTAATATTTAAAAATAAAAAAATTAGCTAAAAAATAACCTAAATCATTCTGGATTAATTTATTAACTAATAATTTAAATCATGAAATTAAAATAAATTCATAAAAAGTGTAGAAAGTAAGTAAAAAAATATAAAATTTATTTTTAAAAAAATTAATATTAAAAGTTCAAATCAAGAAAATAAAATGCTAAATGTATAAAATCAATATATAATTGTTAAAGTGAATGTCTTTTTTTTTTCATAAAAAAGAAAAAGCAATAACATAAATTTCGAAAAAGAAAAGAAAAGAAAAGAAAAGAAAAGAGTAAACAGGGAATAAAAGTTAAAAAAAAGAAGGGCAAATCCGGATTGAAAAAAAGGCATTAAAAGAGAGCTAAAAAATTATTTTCAAAAACCCTCTTCCAAACAAACACGTAACGTAACCCCTCCCCTCTACCCTTTTCTTCTTCTAAAGCCGTCTGCTTTTCCTCCTTTCCCTTCCCTTCAATAATTAAAAACATAAAACCCTAATCCCAAACCTAACCCTAATCTCTCTCTTTTATTATTATTAAACTCAGCAATTCTGATTACTATCTAATATTTTTGATTTTGATATTTGATTATTGAGAGTGTGTGAGAGAGATGGTTGCTTCAACTGCTGCTGCTGCTGCTGGTGGTGGTACTATTACTAGTAGTGGACAGCAGCAGACGCATACACTGTCAGCGAAAGTGAGGAAAACTATACAATCGATCAAAGAAATTGTGGGTAATTTCTCCGATGCTGATATTTACATGGTCCTTAAAGAGACCAACATGGATCCAAATGAGACCGCTCAAAAACTGCTCAATCAAGGTTTATGCCTTTTCTTTTTCGCTCTTTTTTTTGTGAAAAACATTTTGACTTTGCAAGTTGGAGAATAATGCTAGAGGATATGGTTTTGTTTTTAAATTCTCGCTAGCAAGTTATTATTTTTTTGCCTTGGTTTTGGTGTTTTTGGCATGTTTTGAGTAATCGATGTTTATTTCCTTATGCTGTTTTTCAGCTTGGTTGTTGAAAATTATGTTTTCTGTTGGTTTTTTCAAAATCACATTATGTTTAGTTTTGCTGCCATTCTCTATGCTTTTGGTGTTCATGCTGTGTTCTGAGTAATGGGTATTAGGTGCTTTGTGCTGATATTTTAGTATTGAAGTAAGAAGTTTAATAGTAGTGCATAGTTTTCAATATGCTAAGAGTTGAAAGACAAATTTTTTATGATATTTTTATTCCCTTAGAAGCAGTTTGTAGTTGTTGGTATGTAATTTGAAAGTAGATTGTTGTAGGGTTCATTCCTAATTTTTTAATTTGTATTTGGGATTTTAGAGTGGATGGGGAAGGGAGGGGAACTATAGAAGGGGGTAAAATACCCTCCCATTATTTGGGTTTAGATGTAGTGGAATGAAAGGTTAGTATTTTTCCTTTGTTTGGTTAGAGGATGAAAGGGTGAGGCAATAATTATCTGATTACATAAATGCTATTAAAATAGATGTTTTTTTTCACTTACATATTGGTTCAGAGGTCCTTGATAATTGTTAAATATAGCATAAGCCTTCAGCAGATCGTTGTATAATGTGAGAATACTGAACTATTGTTAAGATGTGCAATTTCTAGAACATGATATGAATGTGTTTGGCATGTTATGTTCATTCTGGCACTTGAGTCACAGCAGTGGTCAAGAACAAGATTCGTCTATTGATTATCATTGCTCTATGATCATCTATTATGCACACTGTGAGCTGCTTTAATGTGAGACTGCACAACTAGGTGCATTATAGTTTTTTGTTCTTAGTCCATGGTGCATGATCACCGAGCCATGGACATTGGCTTATGGTACCTGTTGTGGAAGTTGGATGAGTAGGTTGGTTGTTGAGCTTCAATTCTTCAACGTTGTGTGTGGTTATCACTTGAGTTGTAGGAAGGTTCGGAAGAATGCTGCAGCTATCCATGATTTCTTTTTGGTAAATCTCTTAGTTTGTTACAAATAAAAATATGGGTTTCTTGAGCCTTTTGATTGGTCCTCTAAGATGGTGTCTTCCTGTGCTGTGATTTTTCCCTCTTTGACTTGTGTTGGCTGCTTTGTTGGTATGGTCGTTTTCTTGTTTTGCGTGTTAGTGGTGTAACTCTCTTATTCAGGTGAATTCTTATTTGGTTTTCTTACCAGATCCATTTCATGAGGTAAAGAGAAAAAGAGAAAAGAAGAAAGAGGTATGAAATTGTGAACATCTTTCCAAATTGCCTCATTGAATGCTGTCCTGTTGTTTTGGTCATCTTTTTTTCCTAATTGATAATTTTGCTATTGCTATCGTGATCTTGTAAGTGAATTATTACTTATCGTGGTGGAGGGACCATATGCTTTAGGCTTGGCGTGCTGACCTGCTATATTCTTGTTAAACATGATTGCCATGATCACTTGACATTTGATTCTATAAATTCATTAAAGTTGTGGAGCTAACATCTTCCATTACATCATGTTCTGTTTTTTCAGATTGAATTTTGCACCATATAGTTATGTTCAATAAGTCCAATATATGTTTATTGTTTACACATAATTAAGAATTTGCAACTGGTCAAATTTAAGGAATATATCTCTGCTACCTGTAAAATCGATTATGCAATGTGAGATTCAAGGAAAATTTGCCTCAATTTAATTTGCAATTTCAAAAATTCAGAGGGTGTTGAAGGCTCCCTTGTTTTGATATGTCGTTGTATTCTGCTTGTGGCGAGCTTGTTGTTTAGAAATTGTGTTCTCATCTTTCTCATCTTAATGCTCTCTTACATCTCCATTAGTTATTTTTTTTTTCTGTCAAAAAGTTTTTAAATACACTCGAGAGAAAAGCTACTAAAACTGAACATAATTTACATGGTTTTAGGTCTTTTTTTAAAAGGTACACAGTCCTGTTTCCAGTTGAAGTTCAGGCGTTTTATATTAGAGTTACTATGTTTATTTCCCTGGCAGTGCTTGTGCTCATCTAACATGTTACTCACGAGTATATATACTTATGGCCTTAGAATACAAGTTACAGAGGCTCTGTTGATTCAAGAAAACATTCTGAGAATTTTGGTCAAGGGATGAGACCTCATACATTTTCAGATCGTAATGCTCAACGAGGAGGCTATACTCGAACTGCTTCCCCTGGTAATAGAGGAATCAACAGAGAATTCCGTGTTGTGAGAGACAACAGAGTTAACCAAAATACAAGTAGAGAACCAAAGCCTGCTTTGCTGCAAGGTTCAACATCAGCAAAGGAGCAAGGAAGTGGATTTGTTACCGAAAAAGGGTATGCCTTTTCAGGTTCTTTCACAAATTTTTAATGCCACCCCTTATCTGTTTGTTTTCACTCTCTTACCCCTATTATCAGCATGGCTGACGCAAAAATGTTTTGTTCTTGTTTGCCAGAGACTGATAAATAATCAAGATTCTCTACTTAGGCAGATCTGATCTGATCATTACCTATTGATAAATCATAATCCTCAGTTTGAGAGGTTCCGTGCTACAAGCAATGGTCATGAAGTCACTGTTAATTAGTTATAAGCATTCTCATGCAGGACAGCTTAGGGTGGCTGTTCTGGTTCTGACTTTAGGGACTGTTTAGGGCTGTTTCAGTCTGTATTGATGTGGTTTTCTGCTGGGAATTGTAGAAACGATTAGAGTCACACTATTAGGGTTTCTAGGAGTCACATTTAGAGGATAGAAAAACCTAAGCTTCACTTTATACTTATTTGTAGAGTTCCAATAGAGTCCAAATCCAATAAGGACTTAGATTCCTAAATAAGAAAATACTAACTCTATGTAGAATAGGGAAAACCTAATAAATGAATTACTTCTTAGGACTAATAAAGTACTCAATAGAAAATAAAACCCAGACTTGGACAAATTTCCAGATTTTCCAGTAATCAAAGAAATATCCTTGTCTACAAAAAGACACAAGTTTTTCTTCTTTTGTTGTCCACATCACATTTGCTTTTATGCTTGCATAAGTAGCTGCTGTATTACTAGGATAAATTTTAAATTCTATTTTTACTTTTTGAAAAAGAAAGGTAACAAGCTCCGAAAGCATTTGCTGTCATCCTAGTGTGAAGAAGGGTTCAGTCAATGCAGTTAGTGTTACTGTTATATCATGTGTTTTTTCATCAATTTGAAAGTATCTGCAATCAAGCCAAATTACTAGCTTTCCGAACCTTCAACCTTAGGTTATTAGGAATAGTGTTAAAAAGCCCCCAGAGCCAATTCTTTTCTAAGCTCCTAGGCTAGGCATTCTTACCTTAGCTCACCTGAGGTGACCAATGAGCATCTAGAGTGCAAAGCTCTTTAGTTAAATAGGTGGAAAAATGATCAATTCTCTCTCTCTCTCTCTCTCTCTCTCTCGTTTAGGAATTTCAATATTCTCTCTCTATTTTGTTCAGTTCCTGTATCCCCGCTCTCTTTCTCTCCCTCATGTCCATTTTTTTTTCCTAGGCATAGTTGAGTGTTTTTTTAGCCATCTAGCCATTTTCTAACATTTGAGCTAATTGGCTATTTGTTTTTAAAGTAAAGTGTGCACTTGTTCTTGTTGCCTAGGTTCTAAGAGCTCTTGGTGCTTTAGCACATCTGGTTTCTTTTAAAAAAACTTAGCTGGTGAAGGGAGGCCAAGCTTTTGCAGTTTCTGGTTTTTAATTAATAATTATTCTGGTTTTCAATGTTCTAAATGATGAATTGTAGATAATGAAGAAACCTTTAATTTCCACATGGGATGTTCTTATGCAAAATTAAGGAAGCTTGGGTAAATAGGACTTTGAATTAGGTATTGTGGAAAGGAATAAAGAAACTGAGGGAGCAGAGGATTTTGGGTGTTCTTTCTAATTTTATAAAGGTCGTTCTTTCTCCATTTACACTCCACCTAGAAAGTTCTTACGATTTCGAGGGAATCTTTGGTTATTCAGGTTTCTACTGAGAGTGTACAGAAGAAAAAAAGAAATCTAGTGTATATTATTAAAGAATTGAATATCATCTTTACTGAAAAAGAAGCAACAAGGGAACTCCACTTTGTGGTTTTGCTTTGCATCATGCTAATGATGGATCCTTTGTTTTATGTTATTTTATCATTATATTTTCAGTTGAAAACCCAACTTACTATTTTTGAGGCACTGAACATGATCCTTATTTTTCTTTTAGCAGTTCAACAGGAATTTCAAGCAACTTAAAGCCTTCCGATGCACGGAGTTCACACCAAGCTTCTAATGGGCCTATTGATTCAGAACCTAGACACAACATAGATGGTGATAGGAAAGTGGTATCAGAGGAAAAGGGTTCTATAGCTTCTAATGTTACTACTTCAAGGGTACAAGTGGCGAAATCCAATAGTTCTCAACAACACAATGCATTGCAAACTTCAAGCAATCCTGTTGTTGGGGTGTACTCCTCCTCGACAGATCCTGTGCACGTGCCATCTCCTGATTCCAGGTCATCTGGTGTTGTTGGGGCGATTAAGCGTGAGGTTGGGGTGGTGGGTGGTCGCCGCCAGTCCTTTGAAAATGCAGTCAAAGATTTGTCATCAAGTAATTCATTTTCAGAATCATTTCGTCCTTTCACTGCAATATCTAAGACTGATCAAGTCAGCCAAACTGCTGCAATTGAACCAATGCCAAGCATCCCTGCTAACAGATCATTCTTAAACAATCAGTATAACAGCAGGCCACATCAACAAGCCATGGGTCATCCTAAAGGTTTTACTTCTTCCATAAGTTTTTTTTTGTTAGTTAATTGTCTTTTAAATTGTTCTTGGTGCTCTTTTGATAACTACAGTTTGTGATGTCCTTTTCTGGAATGAACAATTCATTTTTGGTTCATTTATTTGACATCTCAAAGGAACTCCTTATTGGCATTTCTCTGTCCACTCATGGTTGTTATGGAGTGATATTTCTCTATCCACAATATTATTATTATTATTGTTATTATTATGGCACGTGTTGCATCATCAGGAAGTAGTTATGTCTTGGTAGGAATCCAAAAAATTACACCAGGGCTTTATTGATGCCATTTCTGCGAGGGCTTAATTTATCAAGCATTTAATGCTGTCCAGACTCCAGAGTGTTTTAGCGAGACTTCTTTGCGTTTGACTTGAAAACTGATAGAAATGACCTAATGGATTTCAATAGTAACCACTATTTCTCCTGTGCTTAATCTCATTCTATTTCATAATTAATTTTAGTTTATGAAAATTGTTCACCTTTTGTATTTTAGTTGCGTTATTAGCTTCTCTCTGTAGTTTGTGCACCTTTATGTATGGGGGACATTAATGAGTAAATTGAAATGACTGGCCTGTTCTGCATTTTTTTCCTAAAATTTCTGGGACATGATTGACCGAAAAGGATTTTTGCAGCTTCACAACATAACAAAGAGTGGAAACCAAAGTCGAGTCAGAAATCAAGTGTTCCTAGCCCTGGAGTGATTGGAACACCTGCAAAATCCAGTTCGCCTCCCACAGATAATTCAAAGAACATGGAATTGGATGCAGCTAATTTGCAGGACAAGTTTTCACAAATAAACATCCATGAAAACCAGAATGTAATCATAGCACAGCATATTCGAGTCCCTGAGACTGATAAGTGCAAGCTGACCTTTGGGAGTTTTGGAGTGGGATTTGATGCTTCCAGGACACCTGGATTTCAAGCAGTTGGGATTTCAGAAGAATTAAATGGGGAATCTGCCATCAGGTCTGTGTTATATTTTGCATAATTTTATACATAGGTTTTACAAATTCAGATACTTGAATTGGGAAAGCTTTGGATTTTTTTCTCCATATAATTGTCTCAAGATGACTCATGCTGTTTTCCAATGTGAATGGTGGTAAGGATGCCATTTTCTCTGAACAAATATAGGTAATAAATAGTAATGGTTTGAGTAAGTCTAGTAATGTAATAACATCAGTACTAGGTATAGATATCACCCGAAGAGTAAGGATAGGAGTTTTAAAGCAGAGTGAAAGTACAAGAAAAGTTGAAGAGAATTATGATTAAAGGACAAGAAAAAAAAGTACGATTAAAAAGCTGAAGAAAATTTCATATTAAAAACAGTTGATCAAACATTGTTAACTGAAAATTCCAATGCTAAGTTCAGTGTTCTAATCTGAGCTAAATATTTAATAATACTGGTGATGACAGTTTACCAGCATCTGCTCCGGAGTCTTCCAGTGATGATGCTTCTGGTGGAAAGCAGATTGAGTTGCTAGATGATCAAGCAAGAAATTATGGATCTGATTCACCTGCAGCCAGTTTAGAATCAGAACATCCATTGCCTGTGAAGTCATCAGGTCCTCCAAACTTGGATAATTATGCTGATATTGGTTTGGTTCGAAACAGCAGTCCATCCTATGCTCCTTCAGAGTCACAGCAGCAGCAAGATCATCCTGAACTACCAAGCTTTTCGGTGAGTTCACTTCTTGGATTAATGAAATGTTTTATGCCAACTTAAAATGAATGCTTACCAAGTTGCTTGAGTGGTGACAAAGCTTTCAGTTCATTTCATTTCAAATAAAAAAATAAAATAAAGTTTCATTACATGGTCATTTGCACATTTTTGTTGGGAAATTCTGATGTGATTGTGTGCAAGCAGGCATATGATCCCCAGACTGGCTATGATATATCATACTTCCGACCCCAAATTGAGGAGACAGTACGAGGTCAGGGTCTGCTATCTCCACATGAGGTAAATTTACCTGCGATAATGTGTTTTAGATGTGCAAAGTAGCATGCCTCTATATCACTCCCCCATGTTAACATGCATGCTTGCAAAAGTGCACCCAACCAGTTTTTTATATATTGATGTGAATGGGCAAGGAGCAGTTGTCGAATTGGTTCTGCAACAGTACATAGTGTATGTGCTGGTTGACATTGTCCTTACAAACTTTGTTATTTGGGAAAACAATTGCCACTTGTTTGTATTTTACGTGTTCTCCTCCTTGTGGTGTTTTGAAGAACACTTCCCTTTTTTGGCACTAAGCTTTTTAAAAGTTGGCACGTGATGTGCGTAAAAGAACACTTCTTTAGGCATTATATTATATTGCATTATGGTGTCAATTAATATTTTTTACCTTTTATGACTTCAGGCCTTAACCACTCATACAGCCACCATTCCTGCATCAACAATGTCCACGGTGCAGCAGCAGCCTCCAATGGCTCAAATGTACCCACAAGTTCATGTCTCACAATTCACAAATCTTGTGCCATATCGTCAGTTCATCTCTCCGGTTTATGTTCCACCAATGCCCATGCCTGGCTACTCCAGCAGCCCTGCATATCCACATCCTTCAAATGGCAATAGCTACTTGCTGATGCCTGGAGGTGGCTCCCATCTCAATGCAAATGGCCTCAAGTATGGAATCCAGCATTATAAGCCAGTTCCCGGCAACAATCCTGCTGGTTTTGGAAATTTTGTGAGTCCAAGTGGGTATGCTATTAATGCTCCTGGTGTGGTTGGAAGTGCAACAGGCCTCGAAGACTCATCTCGAATGAAGTACAAAGATGGAAACCTTTATGTGCCTAATCCACAGGTAAAACATTATTGATAATAACCATCTAACGTATAGTTCTAATGAGTACACGGAGCAATTAGGGACACATTTCTTCTTAAAGGTTGCTGGTTTGGATCATTGAGTTTGAATATATTGTTGTAACTAAGCAACTTCGCTGAAATTATTGTGCTCTTTTCCATTTGATGATGTGTGCAACATATTTTCCTGCCATCTGTTTGGCTTGGATGGTCTGTTGCATGGTATGTGTCATGCATATCCTTGTACCTTACGGGCTAACTATGCAATTATGCATTCATGGCATGCCTATGCACATTGAGGGTGTTCTTTTGGTTTGAATGCCACCTCATTTGTCCAAATAATAAAAGAAGCAGCCCAATGTCATTCTATTCTTTAATTGATTTTCTGGATTAATGTTAACTGCTCAAAGATATGAATTGGTCCATGTTCATTTCCTTTGTTGGTTGCTTTTTTTAGTACCCGGAAGATTAATTTGACCTTCAAATTTTCTGTTGCAGGCCGAGGCATCTGAAATTTGGATTCAGAACCCAAGGGAGATCCCGGGCATGCAATCTGCTCCATACTATAACATGCCTGGGCAAACACACACTGCTTATCTGCCATCCCACACTGGTCACGCGTCCTTCAATGCAGCTGCAGCACAATCTTCTCACATGCAATTCCCAGGCTTGTATCCTCCTACTCCACAGCCAACTGCAATGGCAAGTCCGCACCATTTGGGTCCCGTTATGGGTGGTAATGTTGGAGTTGGTGTTGCCCCATCTGCTCCCGGGGCACAAGTGGGTGCTTATCAGCAGCCTCAATTAGGCCATCTCAACTGGACATCAAACTTCTGAAAGTAGATGTCAAATCTAATCCCGTGCTTCTAAGGGATTGAAGTGGTTATAGAAATTTAGATTTCTTTGTGAAATGTATTACCCTTTTATCTTCTTTTCTTTAATGCAATCAAAGTAAAATTTTAGGCATTCTATTTTGGTCCGAATTAGGCTGCCTTCTGCTTGCGACATCGTTGAAACTCAATCCATGCACACCGATAGATATATAGGGAAACAAGATAAAGTGTTCCGTAAATTTTACAAAGGTGGATTGTGGCTTTTCTATGGGTAGCATGTACGCTGACTTATCAAACCCCACAGTCTGTTCTTATAAGTCAGCATGATTGGTTTGTTCTGCGTAAATGAAGTCCCTAATAAGTTAAAATTTAGTGTTCAAGTTAAAAGTTTTGGTTGAATACTATTGATTAAAATTTAGTCCCTAATATATTTTTATCTTGTTATTTCTAAGCATAATAATTATGTAGTTGTGGTAATATTTAAATGTATTTTTATTTTTGAAGCTTGATAACTTAACATATAGCTTAATTATATGATATAGCTTAATTATATGATTGGTTAATTTAGTTGTATGTATGATTGATTGTTTTATAAAAAAAATATAATTTTATAATTTTGCTAATATTTTTTTATAAATTGAAATGTATATTTTCGTCTCATCTATAGACTAAAAAAATAGACTCCTTTCAAAATATCAAAGAATTATTGTTCATAATTTTTTAATATTAATGATATAATTGGACTTATAACAACTAATTTTGAAAAACTATAATAAGTGATTTTGAAAAGTTAAGTATAAGTTTATTACAACTAAATAAGTATATATTTCAAACAGTTTATATAAATGATTTAACAGGTGCGTTTATAAATATGTTTAATTATAAAAAAAATCTGACTATGTTAGACTAGAATAATAACTCAAAAAAACCATAATTTTTGATTTGATTGTATGATCATATTTAAATTTTTACAAGTATTTTTTTTTAAAATAACTATGAAATTACTATTTTAAATTTTAAAAATCTCATACCACTTTTATATTTTTTATAATTATATGATTTTCCTAACGAACTCGTTTATCAATTAGTTTTGAATTTAGTTGACTTATAAGTTTAAAATCACAACATCCAAAAATATGTTATTTTACCTGGATATTTTGCTACTTTGTTAATTCCCTACTTTTTTAAATTCTGTATGCTAATTGCCAATTTATACTAAACTGCTCGAGTATATCAACGTAACCTTGTTTAATTGTTACCAATGCCTTTGTTTTGCGTTTGATCATTGTTACATAAAGAGTAGACGTGTGCAGTTGCTTGCTGTCGTTGTAGTCACGCGGGTGTGGAAGATAAACATAGGGAATAGGATATAGGTTTGTTCCTCTGGAGAGAAAAAGGGAAAGGGAAGGAGGCATTTTTGTACTGTCGTGTCTTTGATTGTCCTCTTTTTAGAGTGAGCTACCTGCTTTTGTTTCTCGGGATCGCCAATACATTCCTTTACGTGTTCCATGCTTCTCCACGAGCACAACTCACTGGGCTCATCCCCACTCCCTACTTTAGCCAAAAGCACTCACGCAGAGGAGGACCTTCCTTTATTTGTCTCTCGTATTTTGCATCTTAAGGACATGATAACCTCAATCTGAAATCAAATTCCAACTCATTGGAATGCTACTTTACAAGTTATCTTAAGTACCCTTTGAACCTTTACACCAATATGAAACGGACAGCAACTATATATCATGTCAAGAAGAAAGAAATGGAGATCGATATTCGTATCATTATTGATCCAGGTAGTCAAGAATCTGGAATTTTAAGAAAACATCTTAGTTCGAGAAGTACTGCAAGTTGTTAATTTTTGCACGATGTGTGTTAATAGATCTTCATTTATTAATTAGACGAGCCATTGAGAACTTGAACTTAATGTCCTTGAAGGGTACTTCATTCCAATTGTTGAAATATAAGACTTGTAGTTTAGAGGTCTCAGGAATTAGCTGGTTGTGCTGTTACGTAATTAGTTTACTGCTAATCATAAGGGCCCCAAGATTTTTCCTTTATAAAATGGGAAAAAGAAAAAAGAAAAAAGAAAAAAGAACTGCAGTTGGTGTGCAATCTGGCAGATTTCGAGACAATCACGAGCTACTGCTAGTGGGTTTCCAAGCAATCAAGCATTGCTTTCTAATGGGAAATCTTAAGTGGATAATTATGGTCACTCGTGCAAATATTTCAATTTGGTGGCCTGCCGGCCTGCCTGCAGCCTGCCTGTGATTTCTGTCATGGCTTTCCCCTTCTTTTTTATGGGCTACCTTTTACTATGAAGCACCGAGACAAACGGAACATTCTAAAGGCTTGCGATGAACCAGAGAATAAAAAAAAATCATGTCATGACAATAGTATTATGTTGAGAAATAAGCATAAACTCACCAGAAAGAAAGAAATAATCGTCAACATGAGCAGCTTTGTTTTGAAACTAATTAGCAATATTCATGCTAATTTTAATTAAACTGTGGTTAATTAATGAATAGCGAAAAGGGACCAATAACGAGTTCCAATTTGGTTTATGAGAAGTCAACTTCTTGCACACACACAC